ATATGCTGCCTGGAAATGGTTTAACATCAACTATTTCTTTTTGGTACAGTGACTTTATGTATTCTTTCCATCTTCTTTTGATGCTTTCTGAATGATTCTTTGTTTTGCTCATAGAACCCTTCAATACCGCAAGTCAAGGCTGAATCCTTACTTCAGTTCCCTCAGCTTGAAAAATCTTGAACATCCTTTTTCCTTTTAATTTTATAATTCCAGGTCTTTATAGATTGTATTGTAGTATTTGACTTTTTCTTCCTGAGCTGACCTTTGAAATTTTCTGTTCAGCTCTTGAACCTCCTCACTTCTTCCATTTGCCTTAGCATCTCTACTCTGGAGAGTAAATTTCAGAGTCTCTTCTGACATCCATTTTGGTCTTTTCCTTTGCTCTTGTCTTCTTAATGACTTTTTGCTTTCTTCCTGTATGGTGTTCTTGATGTCATCCCACATCTCTTCTGGTCTTCAGCCTAGTGTCTAATGCATCAAATCTGTTCTTCAGATGATCTCTAAATTCAGGCAGAATATATTCAAGGTCATATGTTTGCTCTCATAGACTTGTTTTAATTTTCTTCAGCTTCAGCCTGAATTTGCATATGAGGAATTGACTGACTGTTCCACAGTCTGCCCCTGGTCTTGTTTTGGCAGATGATATGGAGCTTTTCCACCTTCTCTTTCCACAGGTGTAGTCAATGTGATTTCTGTATATGCCATCTGGTGAGATCCATGTGTATAGTCATCTTTATGTGTTTTTTTTTTTAAAAATATTTGCGATGAAGACATCATTGGTCTTGAAAAATTCCATCATGCCATCTCCAGAATTATTTGTATCACCAAGACCATAGTTTCCAACTACTTATCCTTCCTCTTTGTTTCCAACTTTTGCTTTACAATCACCAGTAATTACCAATACATCATGATTGCATCTTTGATCAATTTCAAACTGAAGAAATTGATAGAATTTCCTCCTTACTGATCTTAGTGGTTGGTGTGTAATTTGACTCAGAGTGGTATTAACTGGTCTTCCTTGTAGGCGTATGGATATTATCTTATCACAGACAGGTTTGTATTTCAAGAGGATTCTTTATGTTTCTTTTGATGATGAATGTGATGTCACTATTCTTCAATTTGTCATTCCCGGCATAGTAAACCATTTCATTGTCAGTTTCAAAATTACCAATAACCATCCATTTCAGCTCACTAATGCCTAGGATATCAATGTTTATGTGTTCCAGTTCATTTTTGACAATTTCCAATTTTCCTAGATTCATACTTTGTACATTCCATGTTCTGATTATTAATGGATTTTTACAGCTATTTCTCTTCATTATCAGTTGCTGTTAAGTGTTGGCAAGTTGGTTCCCACCCATAACGACCCTCTAGAGGGTTTCCAAGGAGCAACTGGTGAGCTTGAACCACCAACCTTGCAGTTCAAACTGACTTTAACCTACAGCCCCACACTGGTATTTAAAATGCTTGTGGCATAGCTTCCAGAATCACACAAACACACAAGCCACCACAGTACGACAAACTGACAGATGAGTGGTGGTCTTTTTGAAATACAGGACCATTTATTATCACTTACATTTTCTAAGTTTTCAGCAGGGCAAAAGTTTGAGCAGAGAAGAGAGAGTCATAGAGGAGCATCAGAAATCCCCATACATCTCTACCATCTCCCTGAACAGGAATAATATATGCTCACAGATTTAAAATAAAATCATAAAATGCACTAATCTACTTCAGACCTTTCTTCAGCTCAGTAGAATGCTAGTTATGCCCTGCATCTTTACACATTTTAGTTATTTAATGCACTGCAATTATGCTGTCATTGGACCCTTAAGCCAGGCTTAAAAGGTTCATTCATTTATACAATATGAGTGGCAAAAGTATCAACACATCAAAGTATTCTATTCAGGAACTGCAACTTGAAATGAATTCTGACCTATGACAGGCTGGCTGCAATAATACCAATAGGAGAAAAATATTATAGGTGTCAATTTGGTTTCCATTTAGCTTCACAAAGTGATATAATTAAAAGGACAGAAGTTATTAAATTAGTTAACAAAAGTTAACTAATAATTACAATGTGTTATGGATATCATTATTTAACATTCAGGGGAGTCAGCTCTTTCCTTTATCCCTAATATGCTATCAAATCAGACTAAACTTACCTAGGAGAATTAGGAAACTGTTCCCTTCAGTTAACTTCCTAGTTTTTAATAAAAAAATGATTTGAAATCTAAGTTCAAGTTCTGGATAAGTGTTCTCATAGCCTAGTAACCATCATGGGTTGAGGAGAAATAAAAAGAGTACAACGGACACATTTGGACTCAGGTTAGTCTGTGATCTTCCTTACAGTGCTATGCCAGTGAGCTACCACTGGTCCTACATAAGGGGATTTTTATGGAGTTTTTTTTCTGTGAGTCCCTGGGTTACTGTGCTGTTTTTCAACTTAGAGATTGGAAGTTCTAGTCTATCTATAAGTACCTCAAAAGAAAGTCCGGTGATTTAATTCTTAAAATCAGCCATTGAAGACCCTATAAAGCCTAATTCTACTCTGAGAAACATGAAGTCATTATAAGTTGGAAGTTAGTCCATGACAACTGATTTTCTAGGACATAATAACACTCCTGCAGCTACTATTAAGGATTCAAGCTATTATTTCTATCAAGGGTCATCTCCAAAATAACATTGGGTTTTTGTCATTGCTTGGTGAATTGTAAGCTTTCCTAGAATGTATATTCTATGAGCTAAAGTAAATCCTGATGTGATGCTCTAGGATAAGCACTGTGCTGATAATCACAGTTTTGGCATTTCAAATCTACCTTCTGTCCTCAGAAACTCAATTCACGTTGCTATGAATCACAACTGACTTGACAGCACTTAAGAACAACAACAATAAACAAAAATATGCAGCAAAAGGAAGTGATGCCTTGTCTACAAATGTTCCCAAGAAGTTTTGGGAGATTTTTCCCATCTGCTTAGCTGAAGGCACCTTGCCTAGGATTTCATTCTTTACAGTTTAAGGCTGACTAATGGCACACAGGACCAGCAAGTCACATGATCATAAATCAGAAAGACCAAATTTTTCAAACAAGCCAAATCATAGTATTCTAAATAGAACTTTCATTTTAGCTTTAAGAATAAACATTCATGTAGCAGGAGGAAGAAAGATGTATTTTTAGTAACAAATGCACTGCTTTGTTTGTTTGAGAATAGTTCCTTAGAATTGTCAAAAAATATTGTATTCGTTATGTCATCTCTGGAGGCAGGTAGTTATATATCTCAAAGGAGTATTTCCATAGAAATAAATTTTCTTTATTAAAAACTGCCTACATGGGGTTTTCTACTCTTGCCAATAACTAGCAGTTATTAGTCAGTTAAGGTCCCTGATATGAATAAAGATATCCTATTTGTTCATCCCAATGTGTTTTCATTCATACTTCAACTGAAGCTTGGTTGCAGGACTTAACTTAAATATTATCTTCTCTAGAATAAGAAATAAGTAGTATAATTGGTACACACATGTTTTTCTTACATATTTAATGAGTTCTGAACTATTATAGTATTTTATCTGAATCAAAAACTTTAGATACATGTATTTTGTACTATAGATTAGATGAACTAGAAGCAAAAGTCAAAATCAACTCAACAGCATTTAACAACAACAACAGAAGCATGAATACATTTACAGATTTCTTTCTCTTCCCCTTTCCCAATTTGGAAGTCCCTTAAGGAATAATGTTTTGAGTTCTGCTATAGTCCTGGTGTGGCGCTGTGGGTTAATGCGTCAGACTGCAAAGTCGTTTGAACTGCAAGGTCGGTGGTTCAAGCTCACCAGCTGCTCCTTGGAAACCCTATACAGGGTCGCTATGGGTTGGAATCGACTCGACGGCACTTACCAACAACAACATATTTATATTGGAGTCCTGGTATGGTGGTATGGTGGCTGTGGGCTAATAGCATCAGACTGCATTTGAACTGCAAAGTCTGTGATTCAAGCTTACCAGCTGCTGCTTGGAAACACTATACAGGGTGGCATGGGTCAGAATCGACTCAACAGCACTTAACAACAACAACAACATATTCATATTGGAAACATAGCGGTTTTGTAGGATAAGTACTGGACTGTGAACCCCACAGTTAGCCATCAGCCACTTTAAGGGAGAAAGGTGAGGCTTTCTAGTCCTACAATAATTTGTTGTTGTTATGTGCCGTGGAGTCAGTTTCGACTCATAGTGACCCTGTACAGGGTTTCTGAGGCTGTAAATCTTTATGGGAGCAGAAAGCCTCATCTTTCTCCTGTGGAACAGCTGGTAGTTTCGAACTGCTGACCTTGAGATTCGAACCGCAGGCTGAGTAGTAACCACTACGTTACCAGAGCTCCTTAGAATGATTTACAGCCTTGGAAATCCTACACAGGGTCACAATGAGTCAGAATTGATTCAATGGCACCTAGCAACAATAACAATAACATGCATATTGCTTAGAAAGTGAGGGTGAGAAGAGCATGATATTTCAGCTCAGAAGACTTGGTCTTAAGTTTGGGTTTTTATTAACTTCTTGTAAGTTCTTGGGAAGTCCCTTGACATTTATGCTTCTTTTATTGTATTATTTTTAATATTAATGATGATACTACATATTATATGTATGTATGTATATATGTATGTACCAGAGGGTTTTTTGTAAGCATAAAATTAACTAGCATATGCAAAAGTACTTCATAAATGACATCATGCTCTACAAATATAAGTTAATATGAAGGCACAAACATAAATGTGTCATCATATACATTTAGGAGCTAGTCTTCATGCATGTTAATATTTTTCATTATTACTAGTAATCTACTTCCAGTTAAAGATATTCCTTCTTAGTTTTATTTTTTTTGCCCTGAACTCCTTTAGTACAGTCCTCTCGATATTCTAGTTTTCTATGATTTCACTCTTTTGATGAGTTGTCAAACCACAACGCTTCACTGATGTCTGATTTTGATGTTTCTTTGGCTTTAGAAAGGAGATATTATAGACATCATCTGTAAAACACCAATGGGAATGTGGACGGGAATGTTAAACAGCAAGGTGGGGAACTTCAAATTTATTTATGTGGATGTCATCTCCGAAGAGGAAGTTGCTCCCAAGATAATTAAGGCACATCGAAGGAGTAAGAGGGAAAAACCAAAGACACTGCAGGAGTTCTTAGAGAGGCTTCACCTTCAGGTAAGCAAAACTATGATCTGTTCAATTTGGTTGACTATGGATGGCATAGTTTAGGAGAGTGATCTCTGAATATTTTTTTGAATTAAATTGAAGTTTGTCACTCAGCTCTTAACACTGTGACAAACCTCAAGTAAAACAAATTTCAAAAGAAGAATTTCATATTTATGATACAACCATGGAAATTTTAACTTATAACAAAAAAACAGAAATCCTTATGGTGTAGTGGGTTATGTGTTGGATGTCTAACTGCAAGATCAACAGTTTGAATCCACCAGCTGGAAGAAAGATGAGAATTTCTGCTCCCATAAAAATTTACAGCTTTACAAACCCTAAAAAGGGTTTCTGCGAGTCAGAATTGGCTTGATGGCATACAGCCACTACCACTATAACAATAAAAACTATTTCTAAATATTTCTTCAATTAAATCATTTGACTTAAAGTTTGTGTTTCTCATTTAATTCATTATTTGTTTAGTTTTGTTTACAAATACAAGACTTGAAGCAAAGGAACACTGGGTTTTCAAATATAATTCTTGTGTCTCATTATCATGCAAGGACAAGCCTTGATACAATATCCTTTGAACTAAACCCTATGGGTTCTTAACAGTGATGTTGTTATTGTTAAATGCTATCCAGTCAATTCCAACTCACATCCACTCTGTGTAGTGTTTCCAAGGAGCAGCTAGCTGGTGGGTTAAGCTGCCAACCTTTGGTTTGCAACCCAATGCTGATCCTACAGTACCACAACAGGAGTCCTTAGCAGTGCAAGTAGAGAATAATGTAGAAAAAGTGCATTGAAAAATGAAAATTGCCTAGGAGAATTAAAGACCCAGATAAACTATGAATGATAAAAAGAGAATGAAGAATAAAGGCAAAAGTCCTATGTAGAGAAAGTGGAAAGAATGAAGAGATATATTTTCTATAGAGCAGAAACCAAAATAAAGTTGAGAGAAAATAAATAAATGTTATCACTTTAAAATAATATTTTGGAAAACAGTGATCACAGGACCCAAAATTATTGTGTTAAGTAAACTGTGTTGTTTATACAAAGGGGGGAGGGAGGGCTAAAAAATATTCATGGAAAAAAAATCTATTATCTTTAAATTCCATTTTCCATGAACTTTTTAGTCTTCATATTTATAAAATAAGTATTTCTTACTTGTTATTATGACTATTAGCAAAATGTCTATGAAATATTTCTCTTGTTAAATGGTGTGTACATGTAATATTTGTTGTCTCACTCAATTTGCTATTTACCCATCCATTTCTAAATTTAACTCAACAGTACTTTGGAGGTTTACAAATTGATCAAGTCAATTAAACTTCCTTTAATTGTTTTCCTGAATTATCTAGTTATGTTTCTATCTGTAGATACACTCGCTAAGCCTTCTAGTCTTACTATTTCTGCCCTTCAAATGACGCATTCCTTTGTGGAAGCCTAAGTTTGAATCAAGCCTTGCTATTTGCTCTATAAGTAAACCAAGGTTGAAGGATATTAAGTAATTTAGCCAACAACCCACAATTAAATGTTTATGAACCAGAATTTTGGTTTTCTTTCTTTCAATTCAGTGATGATTTTTTAAAAGAATCACCACATCTTCTGTTTTAGTTGTTATTTTTAGTTTAAAAAATAGTCATCTGATAATATTCTTCCTGATTACTTGAAACTTTTAGACTTCTTCTTATTCAATTTTAGTAACAACAATCATGATATTGAAAATGATCAAGTAAAATGAGAGGAATTTTTGAGGAAGTTGAAAAAGCATTCAGATTTACTTTACATTTTTATCCTGTTAGAGAGAACAGAGGTTATATCAATAACATACATATTTTGAGATCAGAAGCCTATGAATTTTAAACAAATATGTATTGATGCATATTATGAACAAAATATACATGATCAGAAAAAGGACATCATACTTTTGCCAACGATTCTCTTACATTTATTAAAAGCTTAAAAGCTTTTAATTAAATAGGAAGTATAGGATTAATTGTGTTCATATAATGTCTTATAACTAAAAGGTTTAAAATAAATTTTATATAGAATTGTGTCTACTTCAAAATCATTTTTACATATCCCAAGATGCAATTGATAATAGATGTTTTTTTACAATCAAGCTCATCAGATGAGACATAGAACCAGAAATATTGCTATAATATACTTTACTATTAGATACATTTTTTGATAGACTTAAAAGTAATGAGTTTTGTCAGTTTAGGTAGTTGAGAAGTGGAGAAGTGCCAAATGGGATGGTCCAGCCATTCAACTGACCCATAATTTAGCATTGTATAGAAAAGGGAATTATTTCTTCTATTTCTCCTTCAGTAGGTAAGGGTTATATAATATGCCAACTCTTTTTTTTTTTTTTTTTAATGACTTAGAGTTCATATGTCAATAACTAGTACAAATAAAATTAAGTTAAGCCAAAATTCTGTTGCCACTTTGGTTTTATATGTATTTGTATACTTCCTTTAAATCTAAAGAAAACAAAAATATTAGACTCTGACTAGGTTATAATAGACATACTTTTTCCTTCCATAGGAGTATTCCTCTACACTCCTGCTCAATGGTTATGAAACCCTAGAAGATTTAAAGTATATAAAAGAGAGCCATCTCATTGAATTAAAAATTGAAAACCCAGAAGACAGAATGCGGTTACTATCAGCTGCTGTGAATCTCTTTGCTGAAGAAAGTAAGTGTGTGCACTACTTGTCTCCTTACTAAAAACTTGTTAATGTGAACAGTTTAATGTAAATAAGAAGATCTTTAAAAACACAGCCTTAGTTTTATCTACTGAGAAGTCTACAAAGCATTCTTTCTCATAAAATAAGTATTTTAATTTTAATTTTGAAATGCTAACTTTGGACAAATCAAGAGGAATTTTTCTCCATATTGTAGACATTTAGGAAATCAAAGGACTTTTCTGAGTACCTCATTTTGACTCTGCAGAGCTATTAATTTCCACACAAATAGATGCCTGCATTCCCAAAGACTTAGGGAGTTAGAGACAAATATTTTGTGACAGCATGAGCCATTACTGAGAAGTGCCATGCAAGGCTTCTGTAAAATAGCACAGAGCATGACTCTAAGCTAATGAGCCTTCACACCATATAGGAAAATTCATTTCATTACCATATAGTCACATCTTGTATATGTTCACAGTATTCTTTCAAAATGTTATAATAGCTTGCAAAAATATTCAACACTCACTTTTATTATCTGAAACAGTTCTCTGTAAGTATAAACCGAAGATGGAATAATACATGCAGAGTCACTGGTGGCAGAATACTGGCTATGCCAACTGGGTGTATAAAGAAAGGAAGATTTTTATGTTTATAACTGCATATCCAGAACTCCCTTCTTTTTAAATCTGGTCAGGTCAAAACCCTCAGCATGGGGATTGCCAAACTCTGCAAAAAGTATTCTATGTGAAGAAAAGGAGGACAGATTAATTTTAAAGCTTGAAAATGAACTCATGGCATCTGATTACTTAATGCTTGCTCTCAAAAGTAGTAGTAATAACAAATAGTAACTTACTTTTTTTAGGTCATATTTTTTTAATGAAACTTTGGGCCAAGTACATAGTATCTTGTTCTATGTACACCATGACCATGTGAGGTAGATATTACTGTCCCTATTATTTTTATGATAAAAAATCTGCAAAATAAGCTACTTATACAAGCTCGTACACCTGGTGAATCATAGAGCTTGGATTCCAATTCAGTTTTAGAGACAGCATGCTTTACTTTGTGACACATGTACAACACAAATGGGGAGTGAAGAGGAAAGCTGTGCTTAGAGTTTAGGACTCCTGCCTGTCCATTCATAGACTTTCCTGTACTATACGCTCCTTCTTAAATTCCATTAAATGGGCACAGTTACATAGAGTTACATAGAAGAACATATTTATTATACATGAGCCTTTATCTGTAGCCCTGGTGGTACTGTAGACTAAGTACTGGATTACTAACAGAAAGGTCAGCAGTCCAAACCTACCAGTGGTTCCTCAGGAGAAAGATGAGGCTGTCTGCTCCCATACAGATTTACAATCTCGGAACTCCCTGTAGTCAGAATCTTCCATAACAGTGGGTTTGATTTGGTTGTGTTTGGGCCTATATCTAGCAAGGATTAATATGCATTTTTAAGAAACAATTCTTCACTTTATTCTTACCTGCTGTTCTGCATTTACATAGAACTTTATCCTTTTCAAAGAACCTTCACAAGCCCGAATAATTTACACCAGTAGAACTACTTTCACCCTTATGCCTAGATGCTTAAAGGTATTAACTGAAGTTGTGTAGACTGGAAGATGAATAAGAGAGAATGATGGGATCACAGAGGCAGATAAAGGCCAAACTTTAGTAGCTAATTTACTCAGGTGTACAAGCCAAAACATAATTGGTCAGTGTAACTGATGGAAATATTTTCCAGGTAAATGAGGCACTTTCTTTCACATCTTGTCATTTCAAGACATGATTCCTTACTATATAATGTTTATCTAAGAACCAGAGTCTATGAATTTCTTGTAGCTCCTTAATGGATAATGGTCAATATTATTGCCAATACTCTCCTAAATAATTTGACAATCAAGTGGAGGGAAGGAGAAGAGTGAACATTTTTGAATATTTATAAATACTGGTTTTTCTTCTCTAGCACCATGTTGCTGTTAGGTGCCATTGAGTAGGCTCTGACTCATAACAATTTTATGTATAACCGAAGAAAATGTTGTTTGGTCCTATATCATCATCTCGATTATTACTAGGCTTGAGTCTATTGTTGTCGCTATGGTATCCATCCAACTCATTGAAGATTTCCCTTCTTTTTTGCTGACCCTCTGCTTTATCAAACATGATGCTGTTTTTTGAGTTATTATTCACTCTTGATGATGCATCCAAAGACTGCAAGCCAATTTTGTCCATTTTACAGATGAGGAAATATTTTGGAGGTGAATTGAAAAGAGGTCAAGCAGCTAGCTAATTAGCAGAGCTAGGTTTTAATAGTAATTTTTAAATGTCTATATAAAAATCCCAAGTTCTTTCTTACACATGTGCAAACTGTTAAATATGAGGACAACTTGCACATTTGAAAATGGAAGTTGTCTGCACTTTGCCTGTTTTCCCAAGGGCTAACTTACTTCAGTTTTCCATCTCAGAAAAATGGAAGTTAATATTTAAATGATAATGAAACCTTGAAGCAGCATGACTTCTTGAAAAAATGTAGGCTATTGTGTCTGTTTTGTAACAGGGTAGAAAAGGCATGAGAACTTGCAGAAGCTTAGTTTTCAGTCATGAACCAGTGACCAGCTGAGACCCAGTGAGTGGTCCAGTGCCAAATGTTTGTGTTCAATTAATCTCTTCCTTATCAGCCAACCATTTTCTATACTGAGAAAATAGAAATACTTTATAGATGATATAATATTAGTTTTTGTTGCTGTTAAGTGCCATTGAGTAGGTGCCGATTCATAGAGGCTCTGTGAAGGGTTTCCTAGGAGCAGCTGGTAGGTTTGAACCACTGATCTTGAGGTTAGTGGCCCGGTGCTTATTCTACAGTGCCAAACCAGAACTCCATATAATATTAGAGTTGGATTTAATTTTATAAGCCATCTGACCCAAAGTCTTCCTTTGCAAGATGAGGATACTAAAACCAGAGTATGTTAGTGGCTTCCAAGTTCATATATCTAGAACTCAGTCTCCTGAATATATTAGAAACTCTTTCTAGTATGCCTATTTCTCTGAAACAAAATATAATACCAAAAAAGCATGCCGTAACATTCATTGTTTGATATGAAAAAGAATGCATCCCCAAATTATAACCCCTTATAAAACTTTGGAGTCCTGGTGTGGTGCTATAGAAGAAGCACTGGACCATAAGGTCAGTTTGAACTGCAAGGTACATAGTTCAAACCCACCTGCCGCTCCTTGGAAACCCTTTGTAGGGTTGCTATGAATTGGAACCAACTTGATGGTACTATACACCAGCAAATAAAACTTTAGAAAATTATACTTGAAGGTCATTAGAAGTTGATCACTTAATAACATCAAGTAATGTATACACTTATGACACACAAAGCCAGATTCTGGAGAAGAAAAATGGAAAAAAATGCAGATTTGACCAGTGTTTGTTGTCAACACACAATCCTGAGATTTTTCTTATTTTAATCTCACATTCTAAAGTAGTATTAAAATATACATGTCAAAAAGATGCATATTGCATGTTAGACTGTTCTGACTGAAAGCTATTTATCTTATATGAAACTGCTTTGCTAGAAAAATAAAGAAGAATGACTTCCATTTGTTGATAAGATGGTGAGTTCTGATGATTTGGCATCATACTGCTGAATGCTTATTTTTATCTATTCTCTTCTCTGTGAATCATATCTTCTACAACCATGCTGAAGATTAAATGCACAACCTCCATGTATTTTGAATGATAAAACCCTTGAATGTAGGGTTATATAAAACTGAAGCATTATTAAAAACAAATGCATGCCATAGTCATAGGTTAAAAATAGTTGACTTTTTGAGGGGGAAGAATGAGGTATATAAATAGGCTAGAATTTTATGTATGCATTTTATTTTGATCATTGAATATTGTCAGTAGTTCAGGGAATGTCAATGAATTTCCAGTATAGGACCTTGTTGCTTGTTAGGCTGGGAACTTGGAAAGCTTTGCTTTGTTGATTATTCAACACACACACATAAAGTACAAATTGTACAGAGAAAACACCTGTCTTGGGGATAAGAGTTGAAAGTTTGACATAATGGAGAAAAGACCACAAGTCGAATGTGAACTTTTACTGTGTTGAGAGGGACCAAGAGGATATGGGATCAATTTTATTTACTCTTAACCCAAATAGATAGCATTCTACTCACATTGACCTTGCAAAGGTAAACTGGATTAAACTTTTTAAGTCATAACTTGACAGGAGGTACCAATACTCTTCCAAGAGACTGAAGAGCTGGCGAGTAGTGTTGCAGCTGATCTCGGGATTACCTCAGGAGGAGGAGAACTACTTTGAGGTTCTCCAATCTGGCAAGGCCAGAACAGTTACTCTGCATTTGCTCCCATGTTGCATTAAAGCTGAGCAGACATAAGTCACTGGCTCCCTCAACTGGGCATCTAAATGAGGTTAGAAGGAGCAGAAAAATTGGGGTGAACCTCAGCTCTTGAAGGAGCAAAAGAGGAGAATATGTTTATTTGTGCATATTTAAGGTTTCATTATGATCTGAACTTAAAATTAGTTTGTTTACTTAGAGTAAATGTTACCAGCAAAAAAAAACAACAGAAGCATGTGTGTGTGTGCATGTGTATTCAATTCTGTAAACTCAACTTTCAAGACTCTTTTGCCACTTTGCCTTACTCTGAGATGCAGAATAATGTAGTCAATGGCTGTTTACAGCAAATATTTTCTTTGTTCTACACTTGTTCCTTTTCACCACATTTATAAACTCCTTGATGCGTCTTAAAATAGTGTTTATGAGAATGTGCACTACTGCTCTTGGGGAAAATGGATGACAGGAATTTTTCATGTTCTTTCTCATACAGGGATAAATACAATTTAAATGGGAAAAATGATTTTTAGTAACAAGATAAGCCAACTTCACTAGGATCTGTATAAAATAAGCACTAGACTGTGAACCACAAGGTCAGTGGTTCAAACCCACAAGCTTGAAAATCCTGTACAAGGCGGTT